TATAAATTAGATCAGGATGATGATTGTCTTGATCGTAGTGATGAAATACATTGTAGTGCAAGACAATGTCCACCACATATGTATCCATGTAATATAACTGGTCAATGTATTGATATAACTAAAGTATGTAATCGTCAACCAGATTGTATTGATGGTACAGATGAAAGTCCACAATGTGGTAAGTCAAATTACTATATTATGTTCATAAATCTTTTCTCGATTGATCTTTAAAATATTTGAAAAAGTTTTCATTTAAATTAATTATACATTTACAATAGCTTTTGATGATGTATCATCATGTAAATTAATAAGACGAAATATTTCTCTTGGTTTTGTATCAATTTCATTCGTATGAAAATCAACTATTTCAAATGTAACATCTTGTATTTCAAATTGAAAAAGATTAAATGAATACCATAGATAATAAATACCTAGTATAGATAATAATGACCATAGAAGAATAAATATTAAACTAAATAAATTCATATATGTCCAACCAAGATAAAGTTTTGTTTGAGTTGTTGTTACTGATGAAAGAAGATCATCAATATTCATTTTTGGTTTTTTTTTGTATATGGCGCGTGGATTTTTAATTGATTGATTTACTTTGAAAATAAAAAAAAAGGTACTCAACTTTGTGGTGCATTATCATGTGAATATGCATGTCAACCAACACCGGATGGTCGTGGTAAATGTTATTGTCCACTTGGATTTCAAATTAATCCAACTAATAATCGTTCTTGTATTGGTAAGAACAAAAAGTGAAATTTTTGTTTTTAAATGTTTCATTTTAATTTTATTGAATTAAAGATGTTAATGAATGTGAAATTTGGGATGAATGTGATCAAGATTGTCAAAATACAGTTGGATCGTATGTTGAATATATATTTTTATGATATCAAAAAAGAAGGAGGAACGATAACTGATGAAATCGGCCTCCTCTCGAGCAGTTTGATGTCTTCTATGTCAAACTCTTATATAAGATGTCCGAAAGTGATTTCTAGTGAAATTAGTTCCATAAGACTTGTTTATGTTATGCCTAGACTCTGTCACATGTACACTGGATCCGTCTATTGATGATAATCAGCATTTTTATCTATCAGTTTGATGACCGATCAGATTAGTTTTCATGTAGTTTGATAGAGCTTTTCCAGTGCTACAAAATGATATAAAAATAATCAAAAACAAAACACTGACCCTTAAGAAAAATGCTGAGGACACTATTTTGGAGACATGAGTTTATGTCTTTTTTGATTGGTATTTAGTAGATTTCGATCAAAAAAACTCTGATCTGTGTGAAACTACTATGATATTCTAAATCAGCATTCAAAACTGAGTAGACCTATATGAATTTCAAGTATTTTCATGAACTTTTGTTTTCCATCGAAAAATTTATTCCTTGTATGAGAGTTTGACATAGAAGAAATCTAATTGCTCGAAGAGATCAATTTCATCAGTTATCGATTCTCCTCCGTGTATATTTGATATGTATAGATATGTTTGTACTTGTCGAGCAAATTATACACTTGAAGCTGGCAATCGATGTAAACATATAAATAGTAAATATTTGATTTTAAAAACAATTTACAATGATAATAATGATAATTATCTTTTATTATGTTTAGGTGATGATATGAAAATGTTTGTAGCTATAGCAAATAAAATCTATGAAATTGATCGACTTCGTAATGCACGAGTAATTTATACTGGTCCAGAAAATATGACTATTTATGCTGTTGATTATCATTATCGAAATCGATTACTTTATTTTACTGATGCATATGCACATAAAGTAATAAAAGAAACATCTTTGTTTCATAAATTATTTATTAATTATTGAAAAATTTTCATAGATTTTTTCATTATCATTATCATCTCCATCATCATCAGTAAGACTTGTTCTTGAAAAAAATATTCGTATGCCAATATCAATTGCTATTGATTGGATAACAAATAAAATATATATTGTTGAATATGAATTAGCACGTATTGATTTGTTATCATTAGATGGAAAAATGATGAAAACAAATATAATTATTAATAATCTTTATCAACCAGTATCAATAGCTATTGATCCAATAGCTGAATATTTATTTGTTGCTGATGAAGGTAATTGGCATCGAATACCAGCAAAAATCAATCGATGTCTTCTTGATGGTAGACAATGTACAATATTAATTGATCAAAAATTAGAACAACCAAGTGATTTAACAGTTGATTTTATTAAACGAAGAGTTTATTGGGTTGATCGATCGTATGATCATGTTGAAAGTTGTGATTATCATGGATCAAGAAGGTAAAAGTTGCTAGCACACAATTCTTGTAGAATTTTGTATGTGAAACACAATTTAGTTACTCCTTTTAGATTGTGTTTCATAAAAGAAATTTTTTTTTTTTTATGTAACTAAAAATTATTTTTGATTATTATTATATAGAATAACAATAACATCCGGTAGTCAAAATATTCCATTTACAGTTGGAATTGATTTATTTGAAAATAATCTTTATTTAACGGATGATGTGAAAGGCGCTGTATTACAAGTTCGACGTCATTTTAATTCAAATACAAGTTATTTTTATAAACCTGAATCATTTATTCGACCACAAGGAATAGCTATTTATCATGAAACACGACAACCAAATAGAACGGATCCATGTAATGGAACATATAATGGTGGCTGTGAACATTTATGTTTACTTGGAAGAGGTTATTTATTAGCAAATAGTTATCAATGTCGATGTCAATCCGGTTTTAGATTAAAATCAGATTTAAAATCATGTGAACGTAAGATGAAAATAAACAGATTTCTATTGAAATAAAACTTGTATATATATATTTATTTTTCATTCTATTATCTAGCGGTGAAAGATTTTCTTCTTTTAACACGATTAACATCTGTTCGTGGAATTGATTTTAATCGTGATTCAAATGTTGAAGCTCGACCACCGATTGTACCTGATCGTCGAACTGCTATATCAGATTCTGTATTTGATTATGAAGAAAAAATTGTTTATTTTTATTCTCAAAGAAGTCAAATGATTTATTCATCAAAAATGGATGGTGAAAGTAAGTTAATATTTATTTATTTATTTATTTATTTTTTAATGATTTTTATTTTCTCATTAAAATTATAGAGCCAACACCAGTTACAACATCAAAAGTATTTCCAATGGTTAGTGCTTTAGCATATGATTGGTATTCAAAATTAATTTATATGACATCAATAAGTGAAGGTCAACTTCTTGTTATTCGTATGAATGGTAGAGATTTTCCACAACGTACTCTTGTTAATGCAACAACTGGTATACATGGTATTGCTTTAGATCCTTTTCAAGGGTATGTGAAATTGAATTTTATATTCGAAATATATAGAAATTAAAGAAGGAATATTCATAATAATACGCAATTTCCTAAATATTCGTCGTGAATATCTTTTAGTTAATGTAAATGATTTATTTTATTTTAATATTTTATGAAGATGAGCCACTATCAGATATTTGAGTTGTTGCAATAGTCTGTTTCATTTCGCGAATAATAGCATAGCAAATAATGACTAAATAATCTTCCGATAAGTTATACAAGATCTAATTTGTTCAATAACTTCATAAAGAAAATTCACGAGATTGAATTGAAACTATCGAACTTTGATACCAATGTTAGAGAACATTACCAATCAGGAGAGTTCGTTGTCTTTTTACCGATGAAGATACTTTTCATTTAAATAGTTTATTAAATAAATATTAAGTGAAAACGAATTTTAACAACATATATATTAAGATCTATTCGGAAAGAATGGATTTAAATATTTCAAATAATGGTAATCATTTTAAATATTTATTATGAACTAAGTTACTTTAAAGGGCATACTATAACATTGCAAACTAAACATTCAAATCGATGATTCTAGCAGATTCTCACCGGAAAGCTTGGGAAAATGACAGGAACTTGGAAGCAGGAATTCAGTGATCAGATTTTTTTAGTTCTGAATATGATTTAATATAGATATGTATTTTATTCAACAATTCTACGTCCAGCAAAAATCTATCGTATGTTATCTGATGGAACAAATCGTATGATAATTATTCCAAATGAATTGGGTACACCTTATCATTTAACATGCGATTATTCAACGAAACGTCTTTATTGGACTGATGGTGCACTATCACGTATTCAATATTCGGATTATAATGGTCGAAATAAGCAATCATTAAGAGGACGATACATTTCACATCCATTTGGAATTGCAATTTATGGATGTAAGAAAATAACTAAAAAAAAAATAAAAGTTTTCATTTAATATCTTATAGCTCGTCTTTATTTTACTGATGCAACATTAGAAAGTGTATTTGAAAGTAGTAAAATATACAGGTATAGTATATAAATATTTCATGTAATTTTAATTATTATTTATCTGATGTATAGTGGTTATGCATCACCTATTCGATCAAATATACCATCGATTACAACAGTTAAAGTTTATGCAGAATCATCTCAACCAATGAATAGTATGACAATACTAATGTGAGGATAACATTGAGTTTTCTGTTTTGTTGTTTATTATAGTTACACATCCATGTCGAAGAAATAATGGTGAATGTTCAGATTTTTGTTTTCCAAGACAAGATCAAGGTATTTTAACACGAGTGTGTGGTTGTCGTTATGGTCGAAAATTAAATACAATCAATAATCAAGAATGTGATGATAATTCTCAAGCTGAACCAAGTCAAACATCATGTGATGGACGTTTTCAATGTCGAAATGGTCGATGTATTCCATTAAGTTATAAATGTGATGGAGGTGAGTTATTCGAATTAATAATAGAAAGGAAAAAACTAAGAAATCTTTTTCATTTTAATAGATGATGATTGTCATGATAATAGTGATGAACAAAATTGTCCAGGTAAAGAAAAAAAAAAATATATATATATATACATAGTTCTAAACAAAATTAGCTGATCCCATAAAGTATGACTATTCTTTATGATATTGAGCTGATATTTTGGATGCAGGTATACGACAATAAACGGTTATCGCAAACACCAACCCATTCTCCATCGATTCATATGTACTGGAGTTATCATTTACATATATTTTCACTTGTAAAAACCATATTCAGCGGATATATGCAGTCAAAAACTTTTGGTTATCATTTTGATACTTCACAAGTTACTACTGTTTGTTTTTCTAACGTTAAAAGTAGTTCCGCATATCTACTTTATTATCACTAAAACCTGTAAGTAGAGTCCATCGAATCCGGTCTAAAAATTTCGAGTCGATTGGATTTGAATCCAGAAATTTTTAGATTCGATGGGCCCTTCTCACAACAGATTAATCAATCAGGTTCGCATCCAAAATTTTGATTGACCGGGTCCAAAAAAATTTTACTGACTAGATTCAGGTCCAACAAATTTTAATCGGCCGAATCCGAGTCAGAATACTCTTGGATTCGATGGGCTCTACCAATGATTAGAGATATGCGGGACCAGGACTACATAGCAGTTGTGAAATGCCTACCAAACGAAATGCAAAATTTTCTAAACTTATGTATTTTTGGCATTGTTAGTTGTTAGTGAAATAAATAGTGCATGTTTACATAGAATTCTGTTTAATTATTTCACAGCATAGGATCTTATGGTTCGGAAACACGGAAAAAAGGTCTGGTTGTTTTGGTATTCCAGAATCTGATTAGAATTTAATAACATTAGTAGAATTTTAAGAGAATTCTATTTGTGACAGAGTATATGAAAGATAAATATTAGATATGTTACTGTCAATAGAGAATTTTATTGAAATTGAGGTAAATTTCCAAATTCCAATAAGGATTTGATGATTAATAAAAGATTTTTGTTTCGAAAGTAATAACAATTTGCCTATAGATGTTTTATGCTTAATTGTGTACCATCGAGAGAGGATAAATTATGTATAAAATGGTAGAGACTAAAGATTTGTTTATTTGTTTAAAGGATGCTATCATTTGTTGTGTTTTTTTAGATTGTGATGTCTCTTTTAAATTTTAAGTTTAATTACATCAATATTTTGGATACTGCAGAACTGCGAATTCCTATTAATATTATGTTTAGTGAAAACTGTTGAAGTTTGGTAGTCTTTAATAGAATCTTGTTCTGATCAGGAAGAAAATGTATTTGGAAGACTTTGTCTTTTACTAATAACTATATAATTTTATTGTAAATCAGTAGGATTCTTTGAATTCTTAACAGAATTTTGTGTTTATCGCAAGACATTATTAGACAAATGTATCTGCGACAAACATTGTCTTGTACTAGAACATGGAAAGTTCTATCAAATTTATGTAACTTTTTTTTCTATTATAAGCAGAATTTTGTTTTGATTAGAGATAGAGTGACTTCATTAACCCTTACTGTGTACGAATAACCGTGGAACTCTATCAAAATTCTGTTGGTATTTAAATCCGGTCAGAGTTTTGTTTTCAGAAGAGAGATATTACGTCTGACAGGATTTGTCTTCTATGACTAGTTATAGAATTCTGTTAAAAATCTTTACTAGAATTTGTTTTCATTATGAAGAAGTTTTGATAGACTTTGTCTTCTTCTTAGAGCTATAGAATTCTATTCAAATTCTGGCAACTGTTTTAAATTCTCAGAAGACTTGTGTTCTCCAAAGAGCATTACATATGATAAAGTTTATCTTCTGATATTGAGATTTAAATTTTGACAAAATCCTGGTGTATTTTTTAAATTGATTGGTAGATTTCTGTTTCAACAGAATTGCTGTTGTCTAGTAATTGACATGGATAAAAAAAATGATGTTGTAGTCTTGATTATGTTTGATCTGATACCTAATATGGACGAGTCTATAAAATTCTAAATTCTGTTTATTAGACATTCTGTAGACCCTCGATAAGACGATCATAACAGGAAAATGATATGTAAATTATCACTACAGCACTTGTGAACTGAAAACGAATTGGTGTATGCGATCAGAATTTCTTGTCTCAGGTATACACCCAAAATATCAAATCAATATTATAAAGAATATAGCAGCACTTCATGAGAAGTGGCTACTTTTGTCTAGGACTGCATATTGTTTTTTTTCTTGTTTTTTAACATATGTATATATATACCTAGCTGGAACACCAACATGTGGAACAAATCAATTCCAATGTCGAACTAGTCGTGTTTGTATAAATAAACAACTTGTTTGTGATGGTTATGCGCATTGTAACGATCGTTCAGATGAATCTAATTGCAGTATGATGAAAAAAGATTTTGTTTTTTGATTTTTCAATCAAAAAATTTTGTTTCAGGTCAAACTTGTACGCAAAATCAATTCCGTTGTGCAACAGGAAAATGTATTCCTAAATCATGGATATGTGATAATGGTACACGGAAAACTTATTTCTTTTTGTTTTTTTTTTAAATTTTTTTTTTGTTTAGAAAATGATTGTGGTGATTCGAGCGATGAACAAAATTGTCAAAGTGAATATAAATTTAAATTTTTTTGAAATAGAAAAAAATTCGTTGTTTTTTAGATAGAACATGTGATCCATTGACACAATTTGCTTGTCCTCATACACCTGGTAAATGTATTCCGAATGGTATGTTAAAATATGAAAGTTTTATTATTTATAATTAATACTTGGTTTTTTTTTTATTAGCATGGAAGTGTGATGGTCAAAATGGTAAGATTCAATTAGTTTTTTTTGTTTTTAATATTTAAATATACTTCTTATTTATTTGAAATTATTAGATTGTGGTGATAATGCTGATGGTTAGTTAATAAACAAAAAATTTAATTTCTTTTTTTTGCTAAGAATAAATTTTATTTTTTTTTCAGAACTCGATTGTCCACCGATATCTTGTGGTGCTGGACAATTTCTATGTACACGTGATCGTACTTGTATTAATGCAACACGACGATGTGATGGTATTGCTGGTATGTGAAATATTCATAGAGTAATTTAAATATTTAATTAATATATTTAGATTGTCAATCAACGGAAGATGAACAAAATTGTAGTGGTACAAGACCATCATATTGTCGAGTAGATCAATTTCGTTGTGGATCAACTTGCATACCAAATGTAAGTTGAAATTGAAGAGATGAATTTTTGTTTTTTGAAAAAATTTCTTTATTTCAATTAGTCTTGGCGTTGTGATGGTCATCGAGGTAAAATAAATATTTCGAAGGAGAAAGAAAAAAAAAATTTATTTGAATCAAATTTATTTAGATTGTGCCGATGGATCTGATGAACCACCAAGTTGTGGTTAGTATCTTGGTTTTTTTCTTTTGATTAATAAAAAAAAGAATTAAATTATATTGATCATAGGTGCACGAAATTGTTCATCAAATGAATTTCGTTGTGTATCAACGGGTGACTGTATTCCGAAAGCATGGAAATGTGATCATGATGTAAAAATTTTCTTTGTATTCGTAAATTTTTAAAAAACTATTTCAATTTTTTTTCTTTAGGATGATTGTCCAGATGCTTCGGATGAAGATCCAGTACTATGTCGTAAGGATTATTCAGACTTTTCTTTTTTTTTTTGTCGATGAAAACTTCAATTTTTGATCAATGAATAGAGGGTGAACCTTTTCAATGTCCAGAAAATCAAATGAGATGTCCTGATACAACAATTCATCAATGTGTAAATGTTACACAAGTTTGTGATGGGTAAATATTTATTTATTGAATCTTAGGTACTTCTTTCGAGAGATGTACCAGAGTTTATATCGACTTCAGTGGAATGAAATGAAACTTTCAGAGATTATAGAACTTGTACCTATAAGTATAGCTATGGGTTCAAAAAAAAATTCGAAAAACTTGCAAAAAAAAATAGCTATGCTTATAGGCACGAGTCCTTCAAGCTTCTGAAAGTTTCATTCCATTCCGATAAGGTTGTTATAAAGTCTGACACACTCTAGAAAGAAGTACTTTATTTTTATGAATTCTTTTAAAAGTAAACCTGATTGTCCTGGTGGCGGTGATGAATCACCATTATGCAATAATGATCAATGTTCAATTGATAATGGTGGTTGTAGTCATACATGTCATCCATCACCTTTTGGTGCTTTATGTCTTTGTCAACCAGGTTTTCATGTACGAAATACAACAAATTATAAAAAATGTGAAGGTAAAAATATTTTGGTTTTTTTTTTTTGAAATAAAAAGAATAATTTAATTTTAATATTTGATGATTGATTAGATATTAATGAATGTACAGAAGATCCGAATACATGCCATCAATATTGTTTAAATACAAATGGAAGTTTTATATGTTCATGTGCTGAAGGTTTTGTATTGCAATCAGATGGACGTAGTTGTAAGATTATCAGTAAGTCTTCGATGAATAAATATTTCATGGTATTTTTCAACTTTCATAAAGGAAGAAGGAAAATAGAAGATGTGTTGATTAACAAATTTTGACCGAGTTCTTTTAATTAGGAATTAAGGATCTGTAGATCGATCATTTTTATTCATAACTTCGGCGAAAGGTTTTTTTACTGATCTCAAGTGTGAGTCAGATATTTTTCCATAAAATGTAATAAGTTATTAATAGGAATTTGAAACATAAGACACATAAATTGGATTCGAGAGTTATCGAACCATTTCTCTATTTGTAATTTTTTTCTGTTATTGTTTTTACAATTTTCAGTATGAATTCTTTATTATTATTGTTAACTTAGTCTATGTTTGAAAAATTAAACTTAGGCTTTATCTCGAACGAACTGTGTCTTTAGTTATAAAACATGCATATAAAGAAATGATCATACTATGAACAAGTTGAAATCATTCA